ATCTTTTGCAGGATCCGGCACGGCAGGCACAAGCTCCAGAGGTGGAACTACGACAATCACAAGGGCAAGCCATTACTAGACAGGAGCAGTTGAAAAGAAAGTTCCCCTGTTGGAAAACTGAAGGTAACAAGAAAAAGAAGCCGTTCCACCAACCAGAAAAGAGAGGGCACGACCACCCCCAGAATGAAGAAAGGAGAAGTACGACGAATGCAAAGAGAGCCAGGAGAAATGACAGCAACTATAACACGGCTCCAAAACGGAAGATCTACCCATCGGATAGGACTCTACGCAGAAAATGTCGACGAATTGATGAAGGAAGCCACCAGCTGCAGATGCAAAGAAGCAAAAAATTTGAACGGCCAGCAACGAGGATCCAGGCAAGAACGAGAGACAGTTGTCCCGGTTCCGCCAAGACCAGCTGCCATCAAACGGCCGAGACCACAGCAGAGCTTTAAAGAAGGTCTTCAAGGGTGACCGAACTGGAAGGGAAAGAAAGCTCATGGAGGAAGGAACCGAAGGGCGAACCCGTACAAGACGGAAGATCAACCAGACTGTAGTCTTCGCCACTTTCCAAGCCTGGGCAGAAAAAAGGATGTCTGAATATCACAAAGATAAGTAAAACTTTATGTTACTTTGAAACATTAAGTTCATTTTTCATTCTTACTGCAAGTGGCAGAATTCAAGAAGTTTTACCTCATGTGAGGCCTACCTTTATCGCCAAAAAGGCGAGAAATGAGTTGTTACCTATTTTGGTACTGTGTTTCTCAATTACTCGCGCGTGAAACTAAAATATGTTTAATAGGAATGTAAATACTTGAATATTGTAAAAGCATTGATAATCTTTGAGAAAGGTACCTTAAGAAAATTGTAAAAATTATTGTATAAAACTTTATTTAAAAGATTCTGGCAAGAAAGAAGTTTTAGTCTGAAAGACTTTTGAAATGTAGTATTTCAATGCAGAAGAATTGGCACTTGCTTGGAAAAGAATAGAAGTTAACAATGTACTACTAATGTATGGTTTAAAATGCGTAAAATTAACGGCATGTTAATATGTCCTTATATGCAATGTGAACTGTTATCTTAAAAGTCAAGAAATACTGTGATATGTTAAAAGTGAAAATATTAGTAATGCCAAAATTTTAACTTATTCGTGTGACTGTAAAAGAGCAAATTATTGTGAATATGTGTTAAAGGTTGAATGAATGTAGTTAGGCTCTCTGACGCTACACTTCAGAGTTAGCCACTTTTCAGAATAGTACCTCAGGGTTTAGAGATGAATATAAGGTGTGTTCTGAGGTCTTGTTATGTTGAATTTTAACACGTTAGTGTTTTGATTGCAGGCGGTAGTGTTGAACACTTGTACATAGACACGCTCGTGTTTGGTGTTTTCCTTTACAACACATGTCAGAGAGCACGGGAGAGATAATTAAATAAGTCATGAATGAAATAAGAATGTTAAAAGAGAAATATAGGTATTCATGTTACTTGTCATTTAATTGTGTAACATTTCATTAAACTAGTTTTCCTTCCAGATCTATGGAAGGAACCAGATTTCAACTAAGAAACTCCTGTTTATAGATGCAGTACAGATGAAAATCTTGTCCATGGAGTTGATAATGTAAAAACGACTTTTTAATTTCTAGTTTCTAGAGAGAAATGTTTATAAAAGATTAGCCTCGCGTTAGATTCTAGAGCTAAAAGTTTTCAACAAGGTCGTTTTAGACCTCAGTTTCAAACTAATTAACTCTGGCGGGAAGTATGTAAGGATCCTAAGTTTTACTAACGTTTATTTCATTTTAAATCTTTACTATCACTTCTTATTTTCTACTTCCGGCCAGAATTAAAGCTTTAACTTATTTATGAAAATTTGTCGTGCTAACGCCAAGTACTTAAGTTGTGGCTTTTTGACAAGCAAGAGAGAGGAAGGAGTTATTAGAAGCAAGCCGCTTGCCATAGTAGTTTTACTCGGTTGCTGGTTGCCTTCAAGGCCAGAGGTTTAATCCTCTTGATAATTTTAAACGTATCGTAGTTTTAGCAGCTCTCTGTACTACATTCGGATTTTGTTAAATAACGGCCAATCTTGAAGTTAGGCACTTGTATATTAATCCAAAGTTAGTTTTAGTTAGAGCTTTAAGTTAGTATTTTTTATATTCTTACGTTCAAACCACAAGTGGTTGGTCTCTGTATTCCGAAGGTCCGGAAATCTCTGTAAAGATAGAAAATAAAGGGTTTCGTGTACCCTTCCTATGTGTATTGTCTACTCACAATTATTGAACAAGCTTTTAAGCTCCCTGTTCCGAGCGGACAGTTCATTTTCCAAGGCAAGTAAAGAGGAACAAAGTCCTAACTCAGGGACTCGGCCTTTTGCCCTCCATTCAACTCTAAAGATCATTCCCATCCAAAAAAAAAAAAAATTATATATATTATATAATTAATTTTTTGTTAGAACACTTTGCATTTCACTATCTTGTCAGTAGATGGCTGCACCAGTCCAATACATTGGATTTGAACTTAGCATTTCAGTGGCCTGGTGATAGCCCAGACATTGGTAAAAAAATCAATTTAAATTATGAAAGAAAAGTGTAATAATTATTTGTCATTGCTAATAACTGTAATAATGTGCATTTAATTTTTTAAAATTAAGTGTGTGTGAATTTTCAGAACATTTTTGTTTTGCTGTGTTATTGTTTTTAAATTTTCATATGTAACTGTAACATTGACTAAAGAGTTGTTGACCATGTGTTTTTTCGTTCACCACGTGTGTTGGTGTGGGATGTGCTGAAGGTGGACGTCTGTAATTTTTTCTGTATAAGTTTTTAGTGCTGTTCATGATTATGAATAAAAGTTTGCAATGAGTTGAACTAATATCTGGTGACCCGTGTTTTATTAGGAATGCTAATCTTTTAGTTTGACTAAAATTGCAAACATGCCATTGGACAGTGAATCTGCATCTACTTCAAAACTTGAAGCTAGTAAAGTGAGTGTTAAGATACCGCCATTTTGGGTAGAGAAACCTGAAATGTGGTTTTTCACCGTAGAGGCACAGTTTAAAATCAGTGGAATTACTTCCGAAGACACAAGATTTAATTACCTGGTTGCACAACTTGAACCCAAATTTATAGAAAACATTTGGGACATCATTCGAGACGACACGCCAAACAAATATTCAGCCGCTAAAGAAAGACTTCTGAGCACTTTTAAAGAAAGTGAAAACAAACGCATCAAGCGATTGCTAACTGGACTAGAATTGGGAGACCTAAAGCCCAGCCAACTACTCCGAAAAATGCGTGCCCTTGGAGATGCTGATGATGTGTCTGAAAAAATTCTGAGAACCTTATGGATGGAGAAACTGCCAAACCAAGTAAAAAATTTTAATTGTTAGTGATGAAGGTACTGATAAGTTGGCCACAATGGCCGATAAAATTCTTGAGATGAATCCCCGGATAGAGCTTGCGAGTGTGGTCCAAGAAGCTGGCCCATATGATATGTTGCTAAAAAAAATTTCTTCACTTGAGCAACAAATTGCGACTCTGAGTGTTCAACACACGAGAGACAGACGACGAAGTCGAAGCCATCAAAGAAATAGGAGCCGCAGCAGATCCCGCAAGCGTTTTGACCCAGATGGAAAATACTGTTTTTTCCATTTCAAATTTGGAAAAAAATGCTACCCTGATAAATGCAAACCTCCCTGCAGTTGGAAGCAGCCGGAAAACTGCAACTAGCAGTAGAATCAGCGGCAAGCCCTGCTGCTACTGGAAACATTAATTGCCGCAAATTTCGCCTTTTTATCAAAGACAGAAAAACAGGAATCAAATTTCTTATTGACAGTGGAGCAGATATCAGCTTGATTCCAGCTGATACGAAATCTAAAAGTACCTGCACTTCATACAAGCTATACGCAGCTAACGGAACTGAAATCCCAACGTTTGGAAGTAAGGTGTTGACCGTGGACCTCGGACTACGTCGCCCATTCCAATGGCCATTTGTTGTAGCAAAAGTAAACAGAGGCATTTTAGGTGCCGATTTTCTGAATCAGTTTCACACTTACTGCTTGACATTCGCCAGAGAAAATTAATTGATGGTGTGACAAATATGTTTGTACATAGTGATGTAATGTCAGTAACTGAAAATACTGCGATTAGCACAGTGAGCAATTCTGTAAAATTCTCTGAGCTGTTGCGAAAGTACCCTGGTATTACGAAGCCCAATTTATTGAACACCAAAGTGAAACATAAGGTCCAGCACTATATTGCTACAAAAGGACAGCCAGTTTACTCTCGTGCTCGGCAGCTTGATGCTAAGACACTGAATTTGGCAAAACAAGAGTTTCAGTTCATGTTAGACAATGGTATAATCAGGCCATCTAAATCACAGTGGGCTAGTCCTCTGCATCTGGTTACAAAGAAAGATGGAACTTTAAGACCATGTGGTGATTATAGACGTCTGAATGAGCAGACTATTCCGGACAGATACCCGATTCCTAGGATTGAGGATTTTCATTTAATCTTGAGTGGGAAAACAATTTTCTCAAAATTAGACCTATTCAAAGCATACTATCAAATACCCATAGCTGAGGAGGATAAACCAAAAACAGCCATTATTACACCATTTGGACTGTACGAGTTTAACGTTATGAGTTTTGGTCTCCGAAATGCTCCCTCAACCTTTCAAAGATTTGTACACGAGGTGTTTCGAGGGCTTGATTTCTGTTTTCCTTATCTTGATGATGTTTTAATCGCCTCGTCATCTGAGGATGAGCATAAAACACATCTGAGCTTAATTTTCGAAAGGCTTGATAAATATGGCCTATGCTTAAATGTGTCAAAGTCCGTATTTGGAGTTAAAGAAATTGAATTTTTTGGGGTATCTCATTACGCCTTCTGGTTCGCAACCTCTGCCAAACAAAGTTAAAGCTATTCTTGATTATGAACTGCCATCCACTCTTCATGGCTTAAGAACGTTTTTAGGCATGGTAAATTTTTATAGGAGGTACTTGAAAGATGCAGCGCAGACCCAGGCCATGCTACATGAAATGCTTAAGGGAGCAAAAAAAAGATAAAAGTAAAGTACCTTGGACTGAAGAAAGCATAAAGCAATTTGAGAAGTGCAAAACTGACTTGGCTAATACTGCCCTCTTAAGTTATCCAAAGTCTGAATGTCCATTATCTCTGTGCACTGATGCCTCAGATTGGGCAATTGGTTCAGTTTTGCAACAGTATGAAGATGGTAACTGGAAACCAGTTGCATTTTATTCAAAGAAGCTAAATGGGGCTCAAAGAAAATACAGTACATATGATCGTGAATTGCTTGGAATATATCTCTCTGTGAAGCAATTTAAATACATGCTGGAAGGACGAGATTTTCAAATTTTCACTGATCATAAACCACTGATTTTTGCATTCAAGCAAAAGAATGATAAAGCTTCACCTAGGCAGCTGCGTCAGTTACAGTACATCTCCCAGTTTACTACAACAAATATACAGCACATTAGTGGAAAGAACAATATTGTAGCAGATACTCTCTCCAGAATTGAAGAGATATCTGTAATTGATTATGAAGAAATTGCAAAGGCACAACAGAATGACCCTGAGTTGAAAGAATTAATTGCAAGTAACACCTCATTAATTTTCAAGGAATATGTACTACAATCTAAAAATGTCCTATGGTGTGATACTTCAGCTAGCAATATTCGCCCATATGTACCTCAAAGTTTTCGCAAGAAAATTTTTGATCATATCCATAGTTTTGCACATCCTGGTGTCAGATCCACTGTAAAACAGATAACTGCCAGATTTGTATGGCCCAGGATGAAGAAACAAGCAAGTGATTGGGCTAGAGCTTGTCTGCAGTGCCAGAAAGTTAAAGTAACAAGACACACCAAATCGACCTTTGGTACATATCAAGAACCTGATGCCAGATTTAGCATCATCCATATTGATTTGATTGGGCCTTTGCCACCATCTAATGGTAAAATTTACTGTCTAACATGCATTGATAGATTTTCCTGTTGGATGGAGGTAGTTCCATTAGAAGAGATCACTGCAGAACTGGTGAGTAAAGCTTTTTATGACCATTGGGTGAGCAGATTTGGAGTGCCACAGTGTGTTGTAACTGACCAAGGTCGCCAGTTTACCTCCCAAATGTTTAAAAATCTTGCTGCTATTTGTAGTGCTAAACTTCTGCATACAACGCCCTATCATCCCCAATGTAATGGGAAAATTCACAGGACACTAAAGGCTGCAATAAAAGCTCACAATAATGTAAAATGGAGTGATATGCTACCCACTATTTTGTTGGGGTTTAAGAGCTGCTATCAGAGATGGTACAAACTATTCTGTTGCTCAAATGGTATATGGTACCAATATCAGACTGCCTGGTGAATTTTTTGAAAAACCCAGTGTCCACGTTGAACCTGACACATCTGTGTACAATCTCAGCAGCAGATGGCCCTAGTAAAGCCAATGAAGTCTGCAGATACATGTCAATCTTATCAAAAAGTTTTTGTACATAGAGATTTAAGGACCTGTACTCATGTGTGTTCGTTCGAGTTGATCGGGTGAAAAAACCACTAGAGCCTGCATATGATGGCCCATTTCCTGTAGCAGAAAGACATGATAAGTATTATTCTGTGCATATTAAAGGAAAAGATGTTAACATCTCTATTGATAGGCTGAAACCTGCTTACCTTATGAATGCAGATAGCATGCCAGAACTACCGAATCAGCTTCTTGACGACGATGTCAATGGTGGATCCTCAAAGGAAATGCATCATAGTAATTTCCCAACAAACACTCGTTGTGGTAGAGAAATAAAACTTCCTGTTAGGTTTCGAACTTAAAACTAAATCACAACTCTTATATCTCTTGTTACTGCAAATATTATTATTCATGATCTACTTCCCCAATTAAGGCTAATGTCATATCGTATTTATCTCCTTCACAATAATGTATACTGATTTTATAATTTCTAATTTATGTATCTTCTGTAATATACCAGAGTCATAGTGGTGTAGATATTGAGCAATATATTACTGTTCATGAATATATTCAGATATACTTTCCATATTGTTTTTACTGTTCTAGAAATTTTTGCTTCAAATTCTATATGCATGTAATAGCTGTAAGGGTTGGTATTATTGTGTTTTGGAATACAGTGTGTTTTTGCTTAGGCATAACATCTGCATTACCTCCTTAGAAGCTATCTTATAAAATACAATTATTGTTTCAGTTAGAATATTTCAGTGCTATATAGTGTAGTGCACATATATCTATGTATTATGAGATATGTCTTTTTCACTAATTTGTTAATGTTAGATTGCAGTATTGAAAATTAAGAATTTGAGCTGTATGTAAATAAGTAGTATTCTAATCATGTTGGTATTAGGCATATATGAGCTTTAGAGCAAATATAATTTCTATCCAGCTGCAGTTTAATGCAGTACTAATACCTGTTTTTTCAGAAAACTAATAATTTTCAAAGAATATTAGTTGCTAAGGTGTATATTCAGGACAGTGTTGCATTGAGTCAGTCAGGAGTGAGTAAAATAAGAAAAGTGCATTTGGTGTTTTAAATACCTGCTATGAAATGTGAAAATTTTAGTAATACTGATCAGATTTTTATTGGTGTTAACTATTTTCATGTCACTGAAAGCATGTCATTGAATTGTTCAGTTAAGCCCAGATATGGAGTATGTATGTATATATTAACTTTGAGATATAATAATGAAATGTATAATGAATGTATAGAATATTGAATGTGGTATCTACAATTATGTGGATTTCCAGCATGGAACAAAAAAGATTAGTGATATATCTTGAAGTTCCAGCTACCTTAATTATTATTTGTATTTTAATTTGCTATAACCTTACAATTCAGAACCAGATGCAAGCTTAGAAATTCATTCTTTTATACGTGAAGTGCATTTTGATCATGAGATGTAGTGATCACGTTATTCGATTATTGACCTTACCAATGCAATTTAAGTATCGTAACTTAGTTACTGGTGAGGGAGTAATGTTAGAACACTTTGCATTTCACTATCTTGTCAGTAGATGGCTGCACCAGTCCAATACATTGGATTTGAACTTAGCATTTCAGTGGCCTGGTGATAGCCCAGACATTGGTAAAAAAATCAATTTAAATTATGAAAGAAAAGTGTAATAATTATTTGTCATTGCTAATAACTGTAATAATGTGCATTTAATTTTTTAAAATTAAGTGTGTGAATTTTCAGAACATTTTTGTTTTGCTGTGTTATTGTTTTTAAATTTTCATATGTAACTGTAACATTGACTAAAGAGTTGTTGACCATGTGTTTTTTCGTTCACCACGTGTGTTGGTGTGGGATGTGCTGAAGGTGGACGTCTGTAATTTTTTCTGTATAAGTTTTTAGTGCTGTTCATGATTATGAATAAAAGTTTGCAATGAGTTGAACTAATAATTTTAAAAGTGCTGCCGTCTATGATGACAAATGAAAGACGCGAATAGTTATCGCCATAGTGCTGCCATCTGTGTCACAAAGAAGAAACTAAATTTGCACATCTCAGGTAAGGGAGTTTACGCTGTACAGAAAAAACGTTTCCAGCAATATATATATTTATAAATATATTTACCTAGATTTAGATGACTTTTAACATGTTTTATAAATTAAGCAACCAAAAGTGTAGAAAATGCTGATAAATACCAAAGCTTGAACAAAGTTTTTTTTTTTTTTTTTTTTGATATTCATAAATTAAAACTCAATGCTTAACAGCTACTTGAAAGGCTGACCATATCCCCACCCAGGTCATAATAGGTAATTTCTAAAATTAGGGTAGGACGTCAGCATTCCATTTTAAAATTAAGCCATTCATGAAAGCGGTATTCATGAAAAGGAGTATCATTCGCAAATATGAATTGATGCCATTATTTTTTAGGATCAATTTACTGGATTTAATTCAAGAAGAAAGAAAAGGGCACCTTATTCATATTAGGTGTCTTTATTACCAAGTTTTGGAATGAGAGCAGTTCTGTTCTTTACATAAAATAAAAGGGCAAATTTTCATTTAAAGCCGGCAGTTCTTACGGCTGCAGAGCTCATTAAACATATATTCACCTACATTGAGTAATATTATAATTTTAAGTAAATAGTGATTGTTAGCAAAATAATTTTATCACGCTGGAAATTTCCGCGATTATAGTGAACTTTAAAGGATTTTCTAAGATTTCACGAATGACAAACGTTTCCCCAAACATCAACTAAATCCGCGAATTTCGAATTTTTTTTTAATTATTAAGTTTTTAAAATTTCACTTATATCAAAAGTTCTGGGCATCAAAGGCTGGAATTTGTTAAACATTTATGCATAGGCAGTGAACTGTAATACATAGCAAATTAGCTATGATAAATGAAGTAACTTTATCGGAGTGTGAATTTCCGTTATTATTTTAAAGAATTTTAAGAGATTCTACGATTTCGTGTCGAATAAATTCCATAATTTCTATTTTTTTGTCATTATTCTTAATGTTCATTAAGATCTGTTAGATTAAATTTTATATAATAATTTAATACGACTTTATTATTGAATTTATACTAGAAGTACGGTCTGTTTGCAATGCTATTCCACTGTCTAAACCAGAAATTGAAAATCTCACAGTTTCTGCATGATTTCTGAAACACACACACACACACACACACACACACACACACAAAAAAAAAAAAAAAAGCATTTCCTAGCGTTATATAAAGCTGTTTTCTTATCAACGTCGACAAATACTATCCGTGTACAAACTATCAACGTCGACAAATACCCTTGATGACAAATAACCGTTCTTTTAACTTTAAAATTTTCTACTTAATAAACAACAAAAATTTTGTATATATTCTAGATATTGTACGGAACATTGCCTACTTACCTATTAAATGATCCAATATGAAGTTTGTTAAACATATTTCCAAAATTAGTTTGGCTTATGAATTTAATTTAATTTTCAAGATACGTAATTACTGCATTTTATTTTATTTATATACGTATTAGTTATTTATGCTGCTGTTCCGGATAGATTTATGCTAATTTAAATCTTTGACTACGAAATTTTTCTAAAAGTTTGTGCAATAAATTCCAGGTAGTGAAAGTTTTGTGATTTTTCATTATTTATCCTGCGACTGCTTCATGAAACTTTCTCCTTTTTTCTTCCCTCTGTGATAAAATTAGTTATTGAAACTTTGCAGCTGTATTAAAAGATAATATTATAATAAATAACCTTCTTGGCTTGTGTGAAAAATAAAGATGCAGAGGTCAGTTAGTCAAAACTTTTTACCAAATTACCTTCTTTTAATATATATATATATATATATATATGTTATGAAAACAAGCTCAGAAGTAATGAGCAGCAGGCATTTAGATGGTGTAGAAGTGGTGAACCATAATGAATAGGAAATTGGAAGTGAAGGTAGATTAAATCTTCATTTTTTATTTCAGCAAACATTTTGCGACCACATACAAATTGGCACATTGATTTTGCCTATATCGAAAAGTTTTACATTTTAGATAAATTTGCAATGAGAAAGAAGGGGTAGACAGATAGCAGTCCAGCTAGGCAAAAGCGTAGAAAACTAGTGTGTTATGTTCAGAGTGAAATCTGAATTCAGACTGAGTTAGTTTTGACTCTCAGTGTATTTTGATTGAATAATTACTACTTCTGTAAAATTATTATTGGCCGCTTGAGTTTTAGTTTCACTTACATCACCAGAATTACGTAAGAATCAAATGACATGGTTCAGTCTCGAAATAACCCACTGCAAATAGAAGTTACTATTTTTAGAATACAGAAAGGAAATTAACGTTTCTAATTTAATCTTTTACATATTCTTCATTTCATATATTCTTTATTATATATCTATATAAGATATAATAAAATACGATGGCTATGTTAACAAATAGTTGGCGACCTTAAAAATTGATTATTCTAAATTAAGAAATAGTTGGCGACCTTAAAAATTGATTATTCTAATTTTTATATTCTCCCCGGAAGTTCATCCTTTCTCCCAAACTCGAGAACTTTCCAAATTACATAACACTGCTTGAGAAAGGTAACTAAAACTAAAATTAACCAATCATTGCTTAGCTTCACATGTGCACCTACGTAGTATAAATACTGGTCGCGAGCAATGACGCATTCCTTTTTTCCTGACTTCTGCCATGCAAACAACTCTGCGCCGCTTATTCTTTCCTGCCTGAAACGACGTCTTATCTTTTTACCTGTGTATATAAAAATTATTGTATTCAACTATGATCAAAAATTAATTTGTCTGCCAAAGAAATAATTTTTGATGTGTCTAAATATAAAGATGGTGACTCGCCGAAATTAGTTTCGTCAACGTATTCTTCTGCATTGTTCATTGAGTCCTGATGACCGCAAGCTGCTAAAAGTACCAGTATCTTCTACGCAGTTAAAATAATATACGCGTGTGTGTGTGAGTGTGTGTGTAACTGAACATTTAGTTCTGAACAATTTGTCGAAAATGACCGAGCCCATGATCATCTAGTTGTCTCATCACCGAAAGCATTGTCCAAGAGATGATCGATATTACGTACACAAAAAGGGGATGGGAAGAAAAATATACGGAGTACGGTTAGAAAATTTTAAGACTAATGTTTTAAATAAATTACAGAAAAACTGTTAGCGATAGTTGTCAGTACTTATTACAATGATATTTCAATTTACTTTTCTTAAACTATCGACTGCTTGAGGATAAAATCTTCTACGCATTTAATTATTTACTTTGAATTGGTGAACAACTGCTGTCACAGATGAGCAAAGAATGGCAATGAAGTTTTCAATAAAGCGGAACAAAACTGCAATATAGACGTTTAAAATGTTACGTAAACATCTAGGGATTAAAAAATTAACATGATTCAACAATACGGACGATTTCGTGATAAAGGTGAAAATGTTGATGATGAACTTAAGAATGGTCACCCTTTGTAGTCCCAAATGGATGAACACCGAAAAAAATTCCCCAATATTTGAAAAATATTCGTGTCTCTGCGAATAATAGATGATGAACCTAACATTGGTAAAGATATTGCTCACAAAACTGTTTTTGATGATCTTGAAAAAAAGAAAATCTTATGCTGCTCTTCATGCCTTGACTGCAGAATATAAAGAAGATCGAATTTCTGCGAGTCTAATTTTTTTAAATGGGAGACATTAATCTCGATTCTTTGAAACAAATCGAGACTGAAAATGGTTTGCTTCTGATCCTGAGACAATACGACAATAATCGACTTGAGATGGAGAAGATATATCACGGACACAGAGACCTCGGTTCAGAAATCTGAAGTAAAACCATGTTAATGAGATTTTTAACTGGAAAAGGATTATTGGCAAGGAATTGTTCCTGGGGGAGAGATGTTGAACCCTAAATTTAATAAGTATGTAATAGACAGACTTCTGAGCGCCATATTCGCTGACTCTGAGCGCGATATTCACTGATATTCAGACTGAAAAACCTCAGTCGATTTGGTTTTTGCTGCACGATAATGCGCCTCACATTTTTTTATTCTCGTCAAGAAGTTTCTAGTAAAGAAGTCTCAACCATAATCTTATTCCCCAGACTTGGCCTCTTTCATAAGTCTCACCTCAAAATTTAAAAAAGCGTTGAAGAAATTTCAGGAAACCGTAATCAGAGACTTCAGCAGTGTGTCAAAAGATGAGTTCTGCGAAGAAATCAAACATTTGTTTGAAAGTCCAAGAGTTGTACAGATTTACGAGTGATATATATTAAAGGCTAAAAGTAAAAATGTCATTTTCTTTAGATTTTATGCGAACTTAGTCCTAAAGCTTTGTTGATGTACTATTTATCCATGGGATAAGAATAAGCATACGGGACACCAGGCCTTTATGATGATAGGTGTGTAGAGTTCTAATTGTGAAATATTAAATAATTGTGAAATATTAAGTCCTTCAGATCCTACTAGATTAACAAGCGAATTATCTCTCTAGTCTTAATTAATATGACAGAGCACTGAGAAGGTTAAATAACCTTTTTAATAAGTCTTTAAATTAAACAGAAGGCGCCACTTGTTGCGTGCAATTAACATCCGTCTTATGCAGGTATTTAAAGTAATATAAATTGGAATTCAGATTCAAGGTATTTAAAACAAAATAAATTGAAATTCAGATTCAGTGTAATCGAAGACGACACAAAATGGTCTACTTAAGTTTTATTGTCGGCTAGCAAAAATGGCTAAAGCCGAAATAATCTTTGGCATAGCTGGAAATAGAACGAAGCTGTCAAATTTAAAACGAAGGCGAAGCTCTCAACCTTGAAACATTCAAAAACCCTCGACTCAAACGATTAATTTGTATTCTGATGAAGACTGAGAAAAGGAGAAATTATAGTAAAGGTTTAAATCGCAATAATTGATTATTTAAGGCAAAATACCTTCTACAGGTACTATCCCACAATACTATTGATTCAGTGAAGTACCCTACATAGGCTCCTTGCTATCTTTCCCAAACTTCCGCCAGACGGGAGTGGTTAGTGATTCTGATTGCCATACCGAAAGGTCCGGAGATGGCATGAATGTAATTTGTCAGTCCCTTCATAGGAGGCAAAGGTGGCCACTGCTTCCGACTTAGAAGCCAACATATATGAATGGCTACAATCCGCTATACAGATACAAGCAGAAGTTTATTTACTGGTACAGGGCACTAGAATTTCTCCGTTAGTAACACAGGTCCCATCGCACTAACTGCGCAGCGTTTCCGCAATTTAATAGAGAAGAACAGGGGAGACGGATAAGAATGGATCTCATTTCACTTTCCCTATCATAGAAACACTCGAAAAGACATTCAGTTCCAAATATTGTTAAGTACCCCCATGCCGAACAGACACTAACAAATATCCATGCCTTTTCCGGGATTCAAACTCGGGCCCAGTGGTAGTGCAGCATCATTAAACATTATACCGATCAGGGAGGCATTATGTATAGACAGCAAAAGGAAGAAGCTAGACAGACACCAGCTTAATAGTTCAGCTGGTAACGTCTCCACTTATTAAATATCTAGCATCAATACCAACCATACGGGCAAAAAGATCCATGTAGCTTAACAATATGAAAATAATGTATGGAATATTTCGTGATTTTTCATGTTATCCTTGCGCAGGGACCAGGCTAATCTTCTCGCTATCATTCCAATTTTAATATATGTACTGCCGAAGCAAGAACACTATGCATATGCAGGTACAGATAACAGTGACAGCAGGATTTTACCATTGGTTGTACGAGTATAATCGGACTGCGCTAACTGTGCAGATTCGCCCCAATTTTGATAGAGAATACTCCGGGGAACACTACGAATGTCTCCTACCCCTTTCCTCTACCACCGAATCACTCGAGAGAATTTTCAGCTGGCCAGATTTTCGAGAGCTAACATACCAAGCAGACACTATGTAGAGACATTAGGATTTTTTGGAAGCAGGCAAGATGAAAAATTAGCAACCGTCTTCGCCGGGAATCGAACCACGAACCTCTGGAATACCGGCTCAGCGTGCAGAACCACTAAAAAGGTAGGCTACAAAGGCACGCTAGGAAAGTGGGAGAAATATCTTATATACTCCCCTTTTCAAAAGGCGACTGGGGTTTTTAGATTAACCAATTGCCAAATCCTGGGTGGAAAGAATAAACATCCACCACCCTTTTAGTTCAGGCGCCACTGCACAAACATTAGGATTTTTTGGAAGCAGGCAAGATGAAAAATTAGCAACCGCCTTCGCCGGGAATAGATCCACGGACCTCTGGAATACCGTCCCAGCGTGCAGAACCACTACACTACGAAGGCACGCTAGGAAAGCGGGAGAAATACCTTATAATTATTCGATTACCAACATCCATGCTGTTTGAGGTATTTCGAACCCAGTCCCATGAGTAAGGCAGTCAGAGTCGCTGACTACTGTTTTGATCAGGAAAATTATATATGTGCAGCGAAACATCAAACCTTAGTTGAGACTCGTACTCTAAATTTGTGTCAAATTGGCCAAGTGGTTATATCGCTGAAAACTGATAGTTCAAACCTGGGTTCGAATCCAGGCGAACGGCTTGTGGTTTTCCCCATGTGTAACGTGTATACGAATCAGTTTCTCTTAGAAAGTTCTCCATGAAGGCTTTTCGTCGCTTAGGCAGATAGTCCTAATGTGCTTTAACGTATTCAAATAAACCAAGCCAAAACTTAGTTTTAGTCTTCTAGGTAGCCTGTGTTAAGCATTACACCTTCCAGAGTAGCCCATGAAAGTACTATGAAGACATGTAGCAAGATCTTTCGCTGATATTTGGACTCTGGTTGAATGACCAACGTTCGGTGGTCTTATCCATTCGACAGCTGCTCGGCAAAACTTAATTATATTACATACCATCAATAATAGATATATTTATCGCCATTATTCAAATATATATGAGGTCAGAAGACCAGATTTTGCATCCCCGTATGATAAAATCCTCCCGTCTGCCGTTATAATAATGCCATGTTTTTTCATTCCATCTTATCGTCCTTGTTAAATCGTTTCGCAGCGGGATGCCTTTGAGATGAAGGAGCAAGTGAAAGTCGCTGGCTGCTACATAATGCTTGATCTAAAATCTTCAATTTGAGTTTTTTCAGAAGTTGAAATTTCCGTAGAGTATTCTAGAGTATTATTAGGAAGCAAGAAGATGCCATTGCAATTTTTTTTTTTTTTTTTTTTTTTTTTTTTTTTTTTTTTTTTTTGTGCTGGCCCACTTAAATCGTTTCAATTTTACAGTTAGCATTAGTTGTTTTTCCAAGAAACAAGAACTCAGAGAAAATCTTCGCATTTTCCAGAAAACTATGGGTCCGAACTGAAGTTTTGAATTTATATTGCTTTGAAAATTGAGTATCATCCCATTTAAATGATTATTGCTTGAACTGAAACATATGATGAAACATCCGCAGCTAAAGCACTTTTCTCAACAAAAATACAGTTGCGGAATTTATTACTTTCTTCAGACAACATTTGACAAGGTTGAGCGCGTAATTTATCCTTTTCGTTTTATGCTCTTATTACATTTGGAATACTCAGCGCAAACATCTTTTTCAATATTATAATTCTTCAGGCGCGTTTTCCTACTCATAGTTTTTCAGATTAAAAAAAAAAAGAATTTTTGAAAGTGAAAAATGTTTTTTTCAAATCTTAGTCGTACCATCATAGATCGACCAGCAAGCACTTTTTGTTTTCGGTTTTTCTGAAAATTAGATTTATTTTAGATATTAAATATGGCCCTCTACTCTTTTACTCATCAAGAATATCAAATTCTAATTTTCTAAATTTCAAGGCATTTCTTTTTCTTTCTCTCGGCTTATAAACAGCAAAAACATGTCTATAAATTTCCGATGGACACTTGTCTTTTTCATTGAGAAACCATGTAACGCGACGCATATTTGGCGTGCAGGCACAATATTTCTATAGACAATAGACAATAATGGAGTGTAGTATCTAACAAAGCTCTAAAATAAATCTAAAATAAATTTTTACAAGTGTGGTTCAGTGGTATTTCAGTCTAAATTAACAAGCAATCCAGTATGAAGGGGAATTTATTGGAACACGAGTTATTAGAATAACAAAGGAATTAATCTAATCTAAAACCTATTTAACATCTCATCAGCGGCATTCAAGCTGCATCAAACAAATTGAAAGCAAGTTCCACAGTTCAGACTGTTGCCACTTAGCGTTTTCTAAATCAGTGCGCTTCTACCGATTTTCGCATTGCCATTCAGAGGCAGAGAAGAGTATCTATTCAAACCAGAATTTATTTTTCTGTATTTATATTAAATAATCACATTGGGTGTAACATGCAATATCATTATTAAATTATTTTGTAGATGCAATGTTTATTTCGAAGCAGGAGACGTTAAAGATGGGCCATGTCCTCTCCGGGATGCATATAAGCATTCTGTACCGCGCCACGCACATAGGTACCATGCACATAGTACCGCGCCACGCACATATTATTTCATGTTTATTATACATCCATTCTCTACAGATGCAATCTCTAAAAGCATGAAATAAGTCAGTTTTCGGAAATAGCAAAAACGATGTTGGAAGCTAACCGTATACAGTAAGTTCAGAATATTTATAAGCAGTTTGAAAGAGTAAAATTTATTTTTAAAGTTAGACTAATATAGATTTGGAACAGAGAACTAGAGATACATATATTAAATTGAATAATATTACTTAAGGAATATTGCCCATTTTTTAACGTGTAACATGTTTTGAACCTTTACATAATAATAGTGTTTGTCAGAGAAGGAAGTTTCTTTTCTTGTACACGTGTATTAAATTCAGTGACAACACTGAATGCTTTTTTTTTTTTTTTTTTCACGTAAGGCAACAAAATGTTAGAAATGACATGCAAATTAACATGGAAATAACATAATATTTGCAAAGAAAATGTTTTTTGCAGTATGAAAGGAACAGAATACAACAAAATTGCAATAATAATATACTTATTAGCACACAATGCCTAGTTGGATTGAGATCGTCATGTTTTAGTTTTTGCATTAAATTCATGAACTCAGCTATTTATATAATCTAAGTGCTTAAGATTGCTTCTGATTAACAACATCTTTGAAAGATTTTATAATTTTATAATTCCATGAAACAGGAAGCCATCTGCAGAATGTCTAAATGTTTTTGTTTCAAAGGGTATAAACTATAAATTTCATTCTTCCGTGTCACTTATGCGCGTCATTCGTCTAAAACAAAACCGTAAAAATACCAACTAAACGTCATTATGCCAAGAGAAAATGATGTCATCGGAAAGTATGTCCAATCAGAAGTACTCATTTTTCCCTATGAGCGTGGTGAGGTACAGAATGCTTATATGCCGCCGGGATTCGAATTCCGAACCTCCCTATTGCTGGCCGGACTTACTTTCTAATTACATCATGAAGACAAGCGATAAAGACTATGAAAATAATTTACAGTTTGAAACGTTTCTTTTTATTCTGAAACTACCTGACTGTTTTTAAAAAAGAAATTTAAATATCTATTTACGGTTCTTGATAAATATACTTGCACTGTTCAATTTTATTGAATTCTAATAGGCGATCAGCATCAGTTTTATATTACATGGAAAGAAACAAAAAAAAAAAAAAACTTAATATTGCTAACTTCTGATTTAGTTACATACAACTATGGATTTTTAATTATTATAAATAACTGAAATATTAGATGGATTGCATCAGAATTTATTTTTTCAAATAATTTACGACTAAGGTTTACTTTACTGATGAATTCAATCTCATACTCATTAGATTAAAACACTGATTTTATGAAAACAATTAGATAAAAGCTCACAGTTAAAATCTTCATAAACATTTTTTTAGATAATGACTATCTCTAATTTCGTAATAGGTATGCTCTCTCCTTTGATACAGATCAATATTTCTAGCATATCAGATAAAAAGTACTTTTCATTAGTTAATTATAAACAATGGTTTATTAGATTTCCTTAATGTTATTATATATAAAACGTAACAAAATTAAGTTACTGAATTGTTTTTCATTAAGCAAATTAAAACTTGCAGATTTATATCTTCATCGCAGCACTTTTCGTTATGTCAGACGGATCACTGGAAGGGAAAATAAAAATAAAATTACTCGTTTGTATTTAATCTTCCGAAAATGTTGTAAAAGAATATTTCCTTTTCTTTCGAACGCAAAGTTTCATTGCAATAAAAGCCGCCGCGGATGATAATGTGTTTAGCGCAAGCTCCCACACCTTTAGGCAAGATTCGAAACTCGGGTAAGGCAATCGATGTTATAAATGTAGTGCTTTTGCTGCTCACGTTATAAATGTGAGGCATAAAGGAGTTTACATATCTCGCGTTCAAAATCTTATCAGGTATTTCTCCAGTCTTCTTAGGATGCTCTCGTGGTGTAATGGTCAGCACTCTCAGAGCGTATTCGAGAGGTCCGAGGTTTGAGTCCCGCCCACGGGACTGCTCATTTTTCATGACTCCTGCTTCGAAATAACCTAATATCTCTACAGGGGTGTCCGAACTAAAAAGTTGGTGGATGATGATTCTACACCACCAGGATTTGGCGATTGGTTTCTCTAATCCTCACTCGCCCTTTAAAAGGGGGAGTATATAAGGTATTTCTCCTGCCTTCTTACCATGCCTTCGTGGTGTAATGGTCAGCACACTCGGCCCGTAT